CCTCTCGCCCCCCTCCCAATCCCAGCACCTAGCCAAAAGCCACCAGCCCCGTAGAAGTGACACCTCAATCAATTCATGCCCCTTCCTATATAACCCAGCACCTTTCCCTAATAAAGCGAATTCTCCGGTGAATTGCTGCTGTGTGTCACTCCTTTCCTTTCACAGATGGTCTCTAAATGTTTATTTTTAAAGAGACACTAAGTTTCTTATCAGTTTTCCAGACTATTTTGCAGAATTAACATAAGAAATTACTGCTTTGATCATTTCTCAGATAGCAGTTTCTTGGTTTGGGAGTATAAGTCAAGGCTACTTGTCTTGCGTTCAAGGTGAGCTGAGTTACTGACTTGATTAGGGCTGGAGGAGGAAAAGCAGCATCTGGGTAAAGTTAAAGATAAACTGGGCCTTTTAGCGGCTAAAGTAAATTTTACAATAGCCTCATTTAATTGACACAAACAAGACATGGGCTATGCTGAGGTATTTTCTTATCTGAGGGATGTTCAAACATTCCAGGCCAGGTTATTCCTGGCTTTTTAGTTTTAACTAATCTTCACTGAAGAATGCCTATATTCCTAGTTTGATATTTTACTTTAGAGAATTAATGTGACTCTGACTTTGCTTAATTGTTTAATATGGAGTTTGGGTAGGGGTCTTTTTCTAGAGGCCCTCACCCTATTCTCTCCAAGCCCATGGTCCCTGTCTCATAAATACAAAGATTTGTTTCCTTTTCAGTTTCTTTTCTTTGTTTTTTGGCACTAGGGAAAGGAAAATGAGACGACTTGTTTCGGTTTCCCAGTAAGCCCTACCCATTCCCTGCCTGCATTTGTCCGGGCTCTGTTTCAGAGGGGAGGGATGGGAAGTGGGAGTTGCTGCTATAAATGTCTGGAATCCCAGCCTCTGGAAACACACCCAAATCAAGGGGAAGTTCCACGTTATCAGAAAACCTGCATCTCTGGTAAGACTGAGAGGGGTGGGTGGGGACTGCTCCTTTCTGTGGCCCCCAACCTCAGGTGAGCAGTGGATGGTGGGCTCAGTGAGTGCAGGGAGTGCCCAAGTGGATCCACTAGCATATGGAATTTTTTTTTTTTTTATTAGGGCAGCTGCAGTCAGAGAAGTTGGGTCTCAGGAGGGAAGGAACTCAAGCCCACACCTGCCTTTGAACTCTGAGACTTTTGGGACAATGAAACTTATCTATGCCTGGGTGGGAATGAGATAGGCAAGGGACAGTGACAAGTTAGAAGGAACTGAATCAGAGCCATTCCAAGCCCATGGTTTGGAAAAAGCTGGACTTTGGTGAGGTCTTACTTGACTACCTGAAGCCTTGTAACCTGGATGAATCACCTACCATCTGTAACTCCGGAAGTTACCATCAGCCCAGGGCAAATTACCTTTGAAACGAAATCAGTCAAAGGGGGAAATAAGGTGGGAGAAACCCGTTTATTGCTTACAAGCAGCCACTTATGCTCGCCCATGTCTCTCACAACCTTGCTGCAAGAAGGGACCCCTCTCAACCTCTGCAGACCAGAGGCGCTCCCCTAAGTAATCACCTATTGATATGGAGATGACCTACTTCTCTCCCTCCTGTGGAAACACCTACTGATATGGAGATGAATGAAGGCCAGGCAAGAGATTCTGGAAATACTGCAATTTTACCCACACCATCTCTGTGCCAGATGGTATTTCATAATCTATAAAAAAATGGAGATGGCAATCTCAACTTCCTATTGTTGTTAACTTTAAAAACAAAACTGTTAGTTATTTTACCAGCATAAATGGGTTGATTTGGGAATAGCAGAGAACTGCAGTTCAGAATAAGCAGAGCCACAGGCAAATCTGGAGAACTAAGGACAGGAACAGCTCTTTTAAAGAGGATAAGGGTGGTTTTCAGAAGGGGTTCTTATAAACAAAAAGTCCTTTAGCATAAACTGGAAGATAAATATAGTGACTTCTCATAGGCTGAATTGTGACAGTCTCTCATTGGCTGGACTGTTGCCAAGGGAAGAAGAAATCCTTCCTTCCTCCTGCTGGGTAGTAAAGTAGTATCTAAGCAGTATTGTCTTGCTGTGTCCCACTCTTTCCCTTGGTTCAGCAATTGACAAAGAGTGGTGAGCAAGAGCTACCCTGCAGGCCTTCGGGCTTCATGTCAGGAAGGTTTCCCTTTATTAATTCAATGAGTGAGATTAAATAAGAGCATGAACCCAGAGCATCTTGATATGGTATATGCCTTAAAACATAATTGGTTCTTATTTCCTAATTCTTGTACTTTTAAAGCTGTTCCATGGAGATGTAAGAAAGTCCTAGAAATAACAAAGTTGATGCTGCTGGGGTTTTCCAGAAAAAGGCAGCAGCTCACCTGGGGAAAAATCCTCCCCCTCCCCTAACAAAGGGCCTTCCGTAACCATAACACCCACATCTTGGACCCTTTCTAGGGTAGTATGAGCTGTAAGAGGTCTGTCTCTTCCTTCCTGTGGGGTCTGCAATTGACCAAATGGTGGGTGTAAGAGCTCCCTCTGCAGGCCTCATGGTTACATCAATGAAGCTTCCCTTTATCAATTTTCACACTTAAAATCTTGCATTTCATGCAGCTCCTCAAGAGTATGTCTCTGCTTTCTAGATGGGATGCTGCTGATTCACGAATCACTTAATAAATCAGATCTTCGTATTTACTTGGTTGAATTAAGTTTATTAACAATCTGTTAGCCTTGAAAATAAAACATAAAAGGTTTTATTTGGAAATAGTAGGGAATTGCAATTCTGGACATGCACACCACAGCAAAACAGTAAGGCACGCCCAGCCAACAAAGGGGAGGAACATTCTTTTATGGCAGGTGGAGGTTAAGAGGGGCTGCTTAGAGTGAAAGTCCATCAGAGAAAAGCAAGTGTTCAGGGTGGTGATGATCTTTCACCAGCTGAGTTCCTGGGGTCTTCAATTTCTTGTAGGAGATGCAATGTACACCTTTACCTGTTGGGGCCTATAATTGATGATTCCTTCTGTAGAATCCTTCCTTCTGAAGGTTCACTCTGCCCAGGGCCCTTGGGCAAAGATCCACATTTGTAAGTAAGAGACAATATTCTCTTCCTCTGGAGTTATGAGAATCAAGCCAATTGATGAATGTCAAGTACTAAGCCAGTGATGAGGTCATCGCAGCATTTGATAAAATCTAGCTGTTCTTATTATTCTCATTTTATGAATTGCTAATCATGAGCCAAGTCCTCCATATTTATGACAGACAGGAAGGACTGTTGGCTGTGGCCCAGCCCTCCCTAACTTCCCTGTCATACTTCTTTGTGCTGAGTGGGGCCCATGGTGGGGTGTCTATTACCCAGGGACAGTTACTTCCAAGTGGGGAAACAGAGCTGCAGCAGGGGTAGGTGAATTGAGGGTGCTCCAGGTCTGTAATTCGCTGTAAATGACGTGGCGTGGTAAGGCTCACCCTTCTAGGCTAGGGACTCCTAGTGGTTTCCCTTTATTAATTTTCAAAACCCTTTCTGCAGATTTGGCTTCCGTGGGTGCTTGTTCCTTTCTGTGCTATGGAATTAACAAAGGCAGGCATCTTAATCTCTTCCCTCACTTCCAAGATACTGAGTGCAGCCAAGCTGGCCAACGTGGGCACAGTGGCCTCTAACAGTGTCCTAGCTGGCCTTTCATCAATGGGTGAGTGTTTCTGGGTTGTGGGGTGAGGAGGTGGCTGGGGAGGGTGGGTACAGGGTCCTGCCCAGGGACCCACAGAAGGGGAGAGGGTGGCGACACTACAGGCTCTCTCCCTTGGCCGGTCCTTCTCTGAGAAGGGCCAGAGGGAGGCAGGACCCTGGCCAGAGTAGAGAGGGTCTGGGTCTCAGGCTCTGGCTCTCCTTTCCTCTGGGTTCACCACCAGAATTAGCCACCGTTAGGTGTTTACCTGTGCATCTGATCAGCTTTCCGTAGCAGTCTGTCTTGTTGGATCACAGATCCAGGGCATTCATTTTTTAATAAAATTCTTCAGTTTGGGTCCATTTTCTTCATTAGTTTTTATATAACTGCCCTGTCTGGTTTCATTTATTTCACTGTTTGTTTTCTTCCTTTTTCCCCAAATGACCCCTTTCGTTGAAGTCAACTTTTCTAATATGTTTAATGCATATCTGCTTTTCATCTATATTTTTGAAAAATGGGTGTTTTTTTGTTTGCATGCATTTTAGTTTACATACAGAATAGGAGTTGTCAAGCTTATTCTATTGTTTTTCTTTCACACTGAGAACTATGTTTTTGAGATGTAGCAGTGTTGCCAGGTGAGAATCTAATGCTTGCTTCCAACTGTGCGAAGCACTCCCCTGTACCCTGGCATTTCCCTTTCTCTCCCCTGGAGTGGATGCACCAACCTCTGCTGGCACAAACCAGTGTGGAATTGGGGGCGGGGCCTCTGACCATTGCCCAACCCCTGACCTCTGACCTTTGTGCACTCACCCTCTGTTCTTCCTCAGGGCTCACACTGTCATCCAACGCTGCCCTGGGCCAGACTGCGTCCACCCTGGGGTCCTGGCTGGGGGTACTTAATGGCTCCTCCCTGCTGGGAGCCCCTGCTGCAGCTCTGACCAGTTTCCCAGTCGGAGGTAACTGTGCCTGGGTAATAGACACCCCACCATGAGCTCCCACTCAGCACAAAGAAGTATGACAGGGAAGTTAGGGAGGGCTGGGCCACAGCCAACAGTCCTTCCTGTCTGTCATAAATATGGAAGACTTGGCTCATGATTAGCAATTCATAAATTGAGAATAATAAGAACAGCTAGATTTTATCAAATGCCGTGATGATCTCATCACTGGCTTAGTACTTGACATTTATCGATTGGCTTAATTCTCATAACAACTCCAGAGGAAGAGAATATTGTCTCTTACTTACAAATGTGGATCTTTGTCTAGGGGCTCTGGGCAGGGTGGTGGGATTGGGCTGCTGCTCTTGAGCCTGGGACAGGACATTGAGTGGGAATAATTGGGAAGAGGTCTCAAGGCAGGGCATGTTCTGCACAGCCCAGGATAGTCAGGCCACCCTCCCCACAGATGACCACCAGGGGATCCCAACCGGCAGGCCATCAGACAAACGGCATCTGTTTTCCATAGGCCTTCTGTGCATTCGGGCCCAAATATGCCAAGCTGCTGACCAGCCTTGTGTCACCTTTCTAGGCAAACAATAACAAGCAGCAAATACCTTCTAACTGGGCTCTTGCTTCTTTATAGTCTCTGGCTCCATATGCCACCCAGGTGGCCCCTCTGCTCACTCAGGATTTGACTTTCAGACCTCTATTTCTCTACTTCCCTGACAGTCACCAAAAGGCCTTCTTTTTGGGGAACTGGCAGAACTCAGTCCTGCACATCTTGCCGTCTTTAGAACTCCTGGCCTCCCACTGGCCCCAGAGATCTCAGTCCTGGCCCCTACAGCTGCCGCAGATCAAAACCTCTGCCTTTTTCCCCTGAGACCTATGGTGCTGGAAAGGGAGGGAGGCCATGCACACCTAAATATGTAGTGCTATGAGTGGCTTCAGCCACAGGGGAGCAGGATGAATTCTGATTGGAAGGTTTGGGGCCATTCCTGGAGAAGGGGCAGCAGGTCAGGCCTTGAAGAGTCAGGAGCACACAGCTCATTCTCTGATTGCTCTTGAGTAGCATTCAGGCGTTCAACAGTGCTTGCCCTGACTTAACAGGTAATGCCAAATGAAGTGCATCTCTTTACATGACTTACTGCTTTTACATGATTTATTGCTGTCTGAAGAGCTTTTTCTGGACTGTAGGAGAGAGTCATATAATCCCCCACCAAGAAAGCACTGACCCTATTTGAGATAAACCGACATCCTGTCTCAGAGAACATCACATCCATTCCATTTGCCTCTCCCTGCCCCCATCAAGCCACAGCTCCCCAAGTACCCCTCATTCACTGAGAAGGGACTTTGCTGCTCCACACCTTCCTCCCCACATCTGTTGGGTTTTGTTTCTTTCTCTTCTTTGTTTTGACCAAAGTTGGCTTGGAAGGCAGAGAGAAAGAAAAAGGTAACTTCTAATCTACCATAAACAACTCTCAACCAGCAACCAGTGGGCAGATTAAAGAAGCAAGAAATTCTCTCTGCTGACTAGGTTTTCTGGAACAAGAATCTCAAACCCTGTCTCCAGATAACTCTAGGCCAAGACATGCAGATCCTCTCAGGATAGGGCATCTGTCTCTGGAATCCGACTCCCCAGCCATCCTCCCCAAGCTCGGGGCTGTGGGGTCCACCTTCTCAGGAAGTATCACTTCTCAGTGAAGTGGGGAGAGGTCATTCCTTCCTGTGTCTCCCCACCTGAGCAGTGCCCTCCCCACAGGTGGGTGGTGGCTCAGGGAGTGGAGGGGAGGCCAGTGTGCATCCACTCACATAATGTTCTTCTGGTTTCCAGCCAAGATTGCTTCAGCTGTGTTCGGAGGAGGTGCGTCTCTGCAAGAAAGGAACTTAAGTCCTCATCTGCCCCCAGGCCCTGGGACTTGGGGGGCATCTACCCTTGCCGGTGCCCAGGGTTACCCAAGGCCTCATGCAGATGGTAGGAGAGGAGATGGAATGATGATGAGGAGCAGAAAGCCATGAAATGAGGAACTAGAAACAAACTTGAAATAAGGAATGCCATGGAAGTGTGGAGGCTGCCCCAGCAGGACCCAGTCTCCTCTTTGCGGAGCTTTTGGTGTGATCTTGAGCATGTGTTTGAACTTCCCTGAACTCCTATTTCCTTCTGAGAACACGAGGCCAATATTGCCCATTCAAAGTTACTGTGAGGGTTGCATATGATGAGACACACAGGGTTTGAACATAGAAGGGGCATTAAAGAGAAGCCATTGGCTCAGTGACCCTGGGTCTCATGACTTCTAATTGCTCTGTGGTGACATCATGGAGACCCAGAGCTGAGATTCAAGCAGAGCTTAGAATGTGCTCCTTGTTACATTAGTCCACTGGGTAAGAGTTGCCTGTGTTAAAGATTTCCTCAATGAAGACAGGAACTTGCGAAGCACTCTCTAGTTCTAACATCTTACAAAGGCAGAAAAGGAGCCCCAGAACACAGGTGACTTTCCCCAAGAAGGTCCTGCTGCAGATAAGAGCCCAGCCCAGATCCCTGACCCCACTGACCCCACAAGCATTCTGCTCCCCTTTCCCCACCTCATGCTCCCCTTGACTCATGACCACTGGCCATGCCTGTAGTCTCTCCCGTGCTCAGAGTTCACCCCCTTCTCCAGACCCCCTGAAGCCTCCAAGCTTGACCCCATGTGTGTGGGCATCCATTCCTCACCCTCCCCTCAACAGCTCCTTTCCCATTGCAGCCGTAGCTGTAGAGGCTGTGCCCACGGTGCTGGGCGCCATGGGCTTCACTGGTGCTGGAATTGCGGCCTCATCCATCGCAGCCAAGATGATGTCCGTAGCTGCCATCTCCAATGGGGGTGGAGTGGCAGCTGGCAGCCTTGTGGCTACTCTGCAGTCCGTGGGTAAGTGTCCCCGGCGGGGCTTGCTGTGGGGGGTGAGGAGGAGGACAAGAGCCTCAAAGGATCCTGCCCAGACCTTAGCCCCGATGACCTCCAGGAACTTTGGCTCACCTCCGGCGTTCTCTCTGTGGAAACGTGGGAGGGAGGAGAGAAACCCTGGCCTGGGGTGTGCTGGGCTCAGGCTGACTGAACCCAAAGAGGATCTGCTGAGCTGCTTGGGGATCTCCTTTCCCCTTCCCTCCCTGGGGCTCAGCCTTCCTCCCTGGAGAGTGAGGTCGCTTCTGCCCTCACACCGGACCTCATGCTGCTGGGCCACAGGCAGCTGCCCTGTGAAAGCAGAGCTCCTGGAGGCTTGGCAAACAGAGGAGCTGGCTGGCTGGGGTCTCTGGGCCGCAGACCCTTCCTTGGGCCCTGGAGTTCCTGATCCACGGTTCTGTCCTGCAGAGCCACCCAGCCTGCCGCCCAGCTCTGCTCACGCCCCGCTTCTCCTACAGGAGCAGCCGGACTTTCCATGTCATCCAAGGTCCTCCTGGGCTCAGCTGGGTCTGCCCTCGTGTCCCGAATGGTGGGCTTGTAATAGTTTCCTGTCAGTCCCCCTGCAGAGAAGAGGACGGGTCTGGCCCTGCCCACCAGCCCCGTGCAGCGAGGGACCCGTTTCCAGGTGACAAGATGCCAAACAGTGTACCCCCAGAAAATAAGGAATAAAAAGGTGTTGTTGCCATCCCTCCTGGACCCCATTCTTCTTGCTCTAAGTCAGGGTAGGGGGAAGGCTCAGAGTGACGTGTTGGGGTGCAGTGAGCTGGAATGAGCCCCAGGGTGAAGACAGGAAGCTGCCCCTGCTCAACTTCTGACTCTGTATGTGACCCGGGGCAGATCACCTCCTCTCTGGGCCTGCGTTTGCCCCTCTCTACATGGAGAATTGATCTAAATGACCTCAAAGATCGCAGCCAGGGCGGGTATTTGGCTCATTTCCTCTACTGAGTTGGGAATGGGGAGGGGAGGGCATTCTATTTGAAGCATTATTTACTTGCACCCTGACCCTACTCACCCTCTACATACCCAGAGGCTACTTCCCAGGTGGCGTAGCTCAGACTTGGAAAGCACAGGCCTCTGGTCACCACTCCATCCTCAAGTGAAAGTCCATTGCCCCTGCCCTGGCCTGTTTCTCCCAAACACTAGGAGGAAAATCTAGTTTGTCAGGGGCTCTGACCTTTCTGCTTCAGGACCCTGGTCCCTAAATGTCCTTCTCCGCCTACCAAGGGTTCTAGAAACTTCTTCTCATCACTAGGATGGGTTCTATCCTGAGCGTCAGAAAATGTGCTTATGTGTTGACTTGATCCTCCTTTCCACAAACTCTGCAGCTGTGTGCTGTGGGCCAGGCACTTGGCTGGGGGCTAGGGGACTTGCCCTTATCTTAGGTAGCCCTCCTGGTCTGCTGGGCGGTTGGATCAAAAGGCAGATGGCCATTGATGTTGCCCTCTGGTACGGGCCATGCCAGAGGCCAGCCCAAAGGAAAGCACATCACAGCAGTGCCTTAGTCAGTTAAGGCTGCTGTAACAAAAATACCACAGACTGGGTGCTTAGAGGAAACAAATTTATTTTTCACAGTTCTGGAGGCTGGAAGTCCAGGATCAGGGTCCTGGCAGATTGAGGTGTCTGGTGAGGACCTGCTCCCTAGGTGGCCATCTACTTTCTGTGTCCTGTGTGGTAGAAGGGGACAAGGGATCTCTCTGTGACCTCTTTTATAAGGGCACTAATCCCAATCATGAGGGCTCCCCCCTCATGGTACCTCCCACAGGTCCTACCTCCTAACACCATCACCTTGGGTGTTAGGATTTCAGTATATGAATCTGGGGGCATACAAACATGCAGACCCTAGCAGGCACATTGGCAGAGGGGAGCTTGGATTCTATCCCAAGGTTTTCGGAGAGACACTGAAGGGTTTTCAGCATGGCAGTGACCCAGTCACAGATGCTTACCCTTGCAGCTGTCAGCAGCCTGCCAGGATATCAGTTTCCAACAAGAACCAAACCTGTGAGTTGCAGTGCTATGGACATTTTAGAAAGTTAAACAACTCATTCATGTCCTTGGGTGGCCCCTAGTTGGGTCAGGAAAGCAAGGTTGTTATGCAGCTATAGGGATAAACCCCTTAGGGTATTAATTCACTCAATACTTGATTCTTTGTCTTGCCCCCGCTTGTTTGATCCCTTGGAGGATTTGAAAACCTGAGAACTCTGTCCCTCCAAAACACACACATTCCCAAAATAATGCCTCCAGTTTCGAGGCATTCATTAGAGCCTCCCAAGGGCCTTGGAGCCAATGGAAAAGGCTTCTGCCTTAACTGGAAGTCCAGGTCTCTTGCAAGAGGAGCATTTGGGTCTGCCCTGGATCTGGAAGGATGGGCGGTCCAGCTGTCTTGCCGGCTTTGGCCACCCCAGAACTCCCATCGTTCTGGACTCTGCCTCCTGACCTCCCTCGCCCCACTCATGCAGGGCAGGCCTCCCAGCTCCCCGGGGACTGGGGGCCTGTTTCTATTCTGACACTGAGTCTGCGGCCCGCACCTCTGGGTTCCATGGCTCTGACCTGGTTCTTCTCTGGCCCTCAGATCTGGCCTTCAACGTACACAGAACTCAGCATGGAGCCCAGTGACCTTTGCCCTTGTATTAGACCCCCTCCAAAAGAAAATAACCACACACACACACACACACACACACACACACACACACACCTTTGAGTGTAGGTGGATCCTGTGAATAAGATGAAGTATCCACTCCTGTAATTATGTTATCTGACAAGAAGGGGATTATTCAAGTGGGTCTACCCTGATTACGCCAGCCCTTTAAAAGCAAAGAATGTTTTTTGCTCTTCACAAAAGGAGGAGGTCAGAGATTTGAAGCATGACGCAGATTTGAGGATTCTTACCACAGCCTTCAAATGACAGCCCAGTCTGGGCTTGTGAGGCCCTAAACAGAGAACTCAGCCACCTGGACTCCTGGTCTACAACTATAAGATTAAAAGTGGGTGTTATTTTAAACCACTCAATTTGTGGTGAATTGTTACACAGGATCAGAAACAACACAGCCTTGACCCCCCTTCTGGCTTTGCCAGGCGGAGGGTGTGCACCCAGGAGCTGGCTGGACATAACTCTCGTGGCCTCAGGATCCCATGGGGGTCCACTGAGCAGTCTCGAGAAAGCTGACTCTCAAGCTGTCAGTGGAGAAGGAGAGAAAGAGGCCACTTTGCTCCGTAGGACCCCCCAAAGGCTCAGCTTCCAGAAGTTGGCATCAGGGAGGACCTACAGCAAGTTGGCAGTCTGTTTGGGAAGCTGGCAGATCTCCAGGTATCCCACTGCCACAGATGATGAGAGGTTCATTTTTGGTGAGGCTGGGTTTCTGGGGCCGGGGGATGCCAGGTTCAGATGGCAGCAGGAGCTTCATACTAAAAATGAGGAGTTTCCATACAAGTGCTGATGTCTTCAAATTGATAGGCTGGAACGCTGGCAGCCAGGTTATAACCTGCACAGCAGGGGGAGGAAGAGTCTGCTCGGGCATCTTACCTACCCAAGAAAGGAAACCCTCACGTTCTGACACGTGGAGAGGCAGGGTGCCCACTGAAAGGCTCAGCCAGATCACAGGATGGTCCCTAAGTTGACAAGAGCCACCCCTGTGGCAGAGCCTGTCATCAGACATCTATGAAGGCTCAGACATTAAAGGGCTGCGATGCAAGCCCCTCATGTCTCTGGCCCTCCCCCTCCTTTTGCCCCTTGCCCTGGGGCAGTCACCCTGCTACAGAAGGGCCTCTTCACCCTGCTTCATTACTGGCCTCCCCACGCCTGAGAGACTGGAGGAACTGCAGGGGCTGGCCTGAGACAGCGAAAAAACAGTGGGTACAGGAAGGGTCCTCAGCAAGGGGACTGTAGCAGGCCCAGAGGGCATGTGGACCGAGGCAACATGGCTTTTACAGCACCTGAACTGGGTGGGGAGGGAAGGGCTTCTGTTTCCTGGCCTTGGGTCCCCACAACTGAGATATCCTTGGGGCACCCTACATGTCCATACGGCAATTCTAGAAGCGCTGGAACAAGAGGATCAAAAGAAGTAACAAAAAATGAATCTATTGTAGTCAAGACACTGCCCGCTTCTCACCTCCTGCAACCTTCTGAGGAAGATGAGGCCCCCATTTTACAGACGCTGTTAAAGAACCTGTAGGAAATGGCCCACAGTCCCTAACTCTGGCGTCTGTCCGAGGCTGAGAATGGCTGTCTTTGTGGAGATCTGGAACCTAAAACTGGCTCCCTGCTCACTAGTTCCCCCCAAGCTGCCTCCTTGAGCAGCTGGCCTGTGTTCAGGGAGGTTAAGTATTTTCATGAGTCAAACAATTTCAAACGAATGAAGAGATTCAGGGTAGGGAGTGAGTGGGGAGGTGGAGTAGTCTACTGGTTTCAACCATCTTTGGGCCAGCCCTAGCCAGACTCTCTTGAGTATCGTTGGTAACAGGAACTTTTCTAGAGAAAAAGGAAACTGAGAAGGAACAGGAACATTTTACAAATTGAAATTGTGCCAGGATTTTCCTGATAAATTGCAAATACTTAGGGACCATTCACTGTCTTGAGTGATTTACCCGACGGTCCTTGGCATGTGGCATTGTCTGGGGCAGCCTGGCGGGGCGGGGGGCTGGGGGGCCAGGTGCGGAAGCGGAGGGCAGCCCAAAAGCTGAGCTGTGTTCTCTGCTGGGATTCGGACAGGTATGGGCCTGTCTGGGGTCCTGACCAGGGGGGTTGCTATGAGATGGTCTGTGGAGCCTCCTGTCTGAGCTTCCTCTGAGGGAAGGAGATGGGAAGGCCTGAATGCGGCCAGATTTCAGCAACAATCTGAGTGGCGTGGTTGACTTGGGCTCAGCCCTATGGGCTCCTGGGTGGAACCAAATAGCTCTTCTAGGCTGTTAGTCTGAGATGAGGATTTGAGTGCAAGCAGTGTATTTGGGGGGTGACCCCAGGGAGACCAACAGGGGAATGGGAGATGAGACAGGGAAAGGCATGCAGCCAAGAAAGGGAATGTGACTGAGTGAATCTGCACCCTGGGCAACTGAGTTTTAGTCTTGTTGGAGACCTCTGGGGAGCAGTGGGTCCCATGCCTGCAGAGTGAGTCCCAGGTGCTGGCAGCAGGGGCAGCGGGCAGTAAGGAGGAGGGAGCTTGGTGGCAAGACTCCCAACAGTGTCCCCTGCTCCAGCTCAGTAGAGACAGAGTTGAACAGTATTTGTGCCGGCAAAGAGGTACCCATCTTCTGCGAGGCCTGTGCAGGGGAAGCCCATCTCATCAGGAGTTGAGCTGCGTTTGAATTTTGAGATTCTGTGGCCTTTTGTTGTTTTCTGTGTGCGTACTCCACTGGCGTCAATCAACTTTATTTTTTGCTTCCAGATTAAGTCTTCCAAGGCGTCAGACTTGCATTTGGTGTTCATCTTGGAGGGGTCTCTGCCCTCCTGCTCTGCCAGCAGTGTAGACATCTGCCCAATGGCAGAGGCTGTGGGGTTCTCTGTGGTCCCATCCAGTTTCAGTCTGGGCAGCCTTGCCCCTTCCCCAGGGGGTGGGTTCTGTTTGGGACCTGGAAGGTTTAGGACCCCAACCTTGGGAGTAGAGGTTTTTTCTTTTTCTTTCCCTTCCAGGGTGATCTGCAACTGTGCTCTGGGCGCTACAGGGTTTACTGCCCATCCCCCAACAGCATAAGGCCTTTGCTCCCCAGGGCAGAAGAGGGTGGGGGACTGCAGAAGAGGGGAGTTTCTCTGGATTTCTGCTGCCCCCAGTCTCTCTTGGGAGCACCCAGCAGGTCCTTTGAGAAGCAGCTCAGGTCAGTCTGAACCATCCTTGTGTCTGCAGCTCCACAGGGTTTTGGGGCTCACGCTAGCCCAAGCCGGTGCTTGAGCAGTTGGATAAGACCTTTAGCTGAGGTCTCACCTGTTTGCACTGTGGCCCCACCCCCTCTCGTGCTCAGTCCCAGGTGGCTCAGTGCCCCCTTGGGGGCACCTGGCTTTCCCAGAGTTCAGGCCATCTGGTGGCCCTGCTGCTTTGGCTCTCTTAGGGGCTCAAGAAAAGTTGCGATTTTGTAGGTTGTCTGGCTTTTTCTTGTTGTAGGGTGGGGGTGACCCTCTCTCTAGCTTTCTCCATCCTAAGCAGCCCTTTCTTCCTTCTTGATGTCGATGAGTGGTGGTCTACAACATGGAGCGTGCGCATCCTGAAGGCCTCCACGAGACTCCCTATTGGGGTGTAAGCAGAAGTTTTAGAACTTCTACTTCTATTTATTTTACATCCCATCCTTTAAAAAAACTCTAGAGAATAAGACCTCTTTGGCAGAAGTGAGACTGCACCCTGGAGATGAATGGGGACAGGGGACATCAGGAACACTTGTCATCAGGGCAGGAACTGGGCAATTTTTCTAGAGAGCATGGTGACCATTCCTGAGGCAGTCTCCCCCTCTGGACGTACCAGGAGCCCTGTGGAGACATGCGGCATATCGTACTGTCCTGGTGATTTGCTTGTCAGCCTCCCCACAAGACTCTGAGGTGAGGCAGGGAAAGGCTGGTGTCTTGCTCATCTCTGGGTGTCTGGTGGCCATTCATGGAGAAGGGTTAAGAGCACTGAGGTCAGTGGCTCAATATGTATCCTGGCTACCCCTCACCCTGGCCTCCCAACAGGAACCTCAATTGCATGAGGGGTAAACTGAGGCCCACCAAAGGTCGCAGAATGCTCTGGGCTATACAGCCCATCCCTTGTAAGATTAAGACCAACCGAAGCCTTCTGCCAGCTGATTCCGTGTTTGATCGGCCTGCCCCGTCTGCCTACCCCTCCAGGACAAGGCAGGTTGGGAGGATGGAGAGAACTAGAAACCCAACGAGGGCAACAAGCAGCAAACACAGGGAGGTACATTTGCATATGATCTTTATTTCTCATGCTTCTCTGACCTAAGTTGGAGTTTTGGAATTTCAACTTAGGAGTCTTTTTTTTCTGGCTGGTCCCCTGCATCCTCCGATCCAGCTGGGGGAGGAGAAGGGGGTTTCTTTTTTGAACCTCCAAGTAAGGCTCCAAAAGTCGACCCAACACAGGCCAGGAGGATGTTGGATGATGTGGAGAGTCCAGCTGCCCCTGGGGAAGAGACGTAGGGTGAACACAGAGAACGTGCAGTGGCCAATGGCCACGGCCCCTTAGGAGGCCTGAGACCCAGGGACACCGCCTGGATCCCTCCTCTAGGTCCTGAACCCCCAGGGCCCCACTTTGGGCAGAGGATGCTGGAGGTGGCTGAGAAAGGGGAGACGGGGGTGAATTTATGGGAAGTGAGAGAGAAGAGTCAGCCACAATGCCTGAAGAGCTACAGGAGGCCACTGAGGCCTGGAGAGAGGTGGGCACCCTGGTTTGGCTAGCACCAGACCCAGAGCCTCGGGTTTCTTCTCTTCTTCTCCTGCCCAGTACCTCTCACCCCTCCGCTCCCACCCCAAAGCTCACTCAGAAGGAGCCAGAAAGAGGACAGTGAGCGAGACAAAGGACCAGGGGCACTGAGGACCACAGAACTGGAGGGACAGGACAGGCCCTCCCTCAGGCCTAGCCTCTGGGCTGAATCCGTTCCTTGCTCTGGCCTCTGGCCCTCCTGCCCGGGTACTTACCCACGGACTGCAGAGTAGCCACCAGGCTGCCGGCTGCCACTCCGCCCCCATTGGAGATGGCAGCTGCGGACATCATCTTGGCAGCGACGGAGGAGGCGGCTATTCCAGCGCTGGTGAAGCCCATGGTGCCCAGCACCACCGGCACAGACACCACAGCAATGACTGAAGTGGGAGAGGAGCTGGGTTGAGGGGAGGGTGCAGGGGAATGGACCTTTTAGGAATTCCTTGACAGTCTCTGGGGATACTCTGAACACATGGGAGACAGCAATTTGGGTGTGTGTGGGGGTGAGGGGGAGTGGGGGCAGTCCCAAGGTAGGAAAAAGAAAAAAAAGGTGGGGTCTGTGGAGCCAGGTGGGGGCAAAGTCATAGGAGGCCCAGTTGTAGCCCTGATTGGGTCTCTAACTTGCTGTGTGATACTGGGGAAGTCACTATCCCTCACTGGGCGTCAGATTTGTGTGTGTGCCTGTAAATGTGAGGGGTGAAATAAACAACTGCGGTTTTTAGCAGCAAACTCCCTGTGAAATGAAATCTCTACATGCTCATCATCTGTAAGGTCTGTAGGAGCTGCTAGCCAGGGATCAGGTGACCTTTCTGGGGGGTTCACTATGATACTTTGCCCCTATGATTCACCAGGCAGCTCGGGGGTGGAGCAAGGCGGGGGTGGTGGTGACTGAGGGGCGGTGGGGCAGCCCTCACAGTGCCTGCAGTGCCATCTGTACGGTCCCTTTCATCCCGGGACCGCGGCCAGGTGACGGCCTGGCGATGAGGGGGATCCAGGCGACTCACCTCCTCCGACGGCAGCGACAGCGGCGCGTTCTTGGAAGACAAAAAGGGACGGGGAGAGAGAGAGGGCCGGGGGTGGGAAGCGAGAGGGAGAGTCGGTGGAGGCAGTGAGGGAAAGAAGCCACCCCTCCGGCCCTGGGTGGGCTGGGGTCGCGGGAGCCTGTCCCCCGCCCAAGCCGCCAGCCCAGCGGGAAAGCGAGACTCACGCATTGCGGCGAGGCCCTTACGGTCTGAGCGCAGCCCCGGAAATGACCGCACCCCGGGCGAAGGGAGACTGCACTGCCGGGGCAGCCGGCGGGGACGCTCGTGAGCCCGCTCGTGGGCGGGCAGAAGCCGGGAGCGCCGCGGGCCCGCCCCCGCCGCCCGCCCCCGCCGCACTGGGACCGCCCCCCCCGCCCCGGCCCCGCCCTCCTCGCCCGTCTCCACCCCATCTGGCCCTGCCGCTCGCCCTTCCCGCTCCAGGTACCCGCCTGTCCCCACCGCCGCTCGCCCACCCCGACCCGCGGGCCCCCCTGCCCACCGGCAGCTCCCTCGGGGGTCTCCTTCCTGATGGCTCTGCTCTGCCGGAGAAACAGCATGAAAGCACCCGAAGGCCGTCCCAAGGGGGCCGTGCTCCAGGATGTAACTTTCCCCCAAAGTGCACAAAGAGTAGTTTGCTGCCAAAAGAACAGACACAAACAAACAAAACGTAAGGGGAAACCAATAATTAATATCCCTGCCAGAGAGACACTGAGTAAGTTATTGCCATTTCCCTCCCGTCTGTCTCCTCAAGGCCCCCCAATCGCCGTCACTCTGAATATGTGACTGCCCCCCACCCCTTCCAGTCTCACGGTGTTCAGTACTTTGCAAATTCCTCGTTTTTTCTGAATTGGACGTTTAAATTTCCCCAGGCTGTTTAATATTCTTCAACAGGATTTTTTTTAAGTCAAGTTTATGGAGGTATAATTTACACAAAGTAAAAATCAACCTTTTAGTGTGCACAGCCATGACTTTGGACCAACGTTTACAGTTGTGGAACCGGCAGCTCAGTTGTAGAGGATTTTCATCTCCCATACTCCACCCCAAAATTCTCTCCTGCTGCTTTGTAATCACCTTCCTTACCCCAGCCCATTGCGACCAGTGGTCTGTTTTCTATCCATACACATTTGCATTTTCCAGAACTTCAAGATAATTTTTCCTTGTCTTCAGATAGTCTGTGTTGTGGATGTGCTATTCAGTTTATCATCCCCCTTTTCTAAGGCTTTGCCTTCTTTCTAATTTTTGCTCTTTAAAGTTATCCTGTCATGAAGTACTTAGGACATGGTGCGCAAATATTTTCTGGTAATACATTCCTACAGGTGAATTGACTGGGTTGGAAATTATGTATTTCTTGTGGCATTTTAACACTTCTTATGAAGTGGCCCTCCAAATACTGTAGCAGCTTACACTCCCCCCTCAAAGTACATGGGAGGATCTATTTTTTGTTCTACTCCTCACTGCAATTAGCTTTGTCATATATATATATATATATGCAGTCCTTATTTTTTATTTATTTATTTTTATTTATTTTTATTTTTTTTATTTTTACATATTCTTAATATAATTTTTTTTGAGAGGGCATCTCTCATATTTATTGATCAAATGGTTGTTAACAACAATAAAATTCAGTATAGGGGGGTCAATGCTCAATGTACAATCATTAATCCATCTCAAGCCTAATTCTCGTCAGTCTCCAATCTTCTGAAGCATAACGAACAAGTTCTTACATGGTGAACGAATTCTTACATAGTGAATAAATTCTTACATGGTGAACAGTACAAGGGCATTCATCACAGAAACTTTCGGTTTTGATCACGCAATATGACCTATAAACAATCAGGTCAAATATGAATATTCGTTTGATTTTTGTACTTGATTTATATGTTGATCCCACATTTCTCCTATTATTATTATTATTTTTATTTTTAATAAAATGCTGAAGTGGTAGGTAGATGCAAGATAAAGGTAGAAAACATAGTTTAGTG